TGAAAAATCTGCCAAGAAATATTAGATGTGAAGTGGCTATGCAATGGGAGAGTAAAAAATATTAGGAACTGCCAAAACCCCTCATTTGATGAAGACAAGAAGCTGGAGGAGGCATCTAAAACCTAGAAAAGTTTTCTAGGTAGAAATCTGCTGCTGATACAAGGATGCCGCAGACTGAGGATATAAACCACAGGTAGCAACTAATTGACCAGATAATTTATTGCTGGTCCTGTAGAAGTAATTCCAGGATTCACTCGACCCTCAGGAGCACCCGGACACTGCACCGGTAGTACAGGTGTTTTCTAAAGAATGGAAATGCAGTCATGTCATGACTATGGCAAATGTCAGGGTATTGCCCTTTCCATGGCTGAGGAATACGTGTGCAGGGAGGAGGAGTAAAAGGAGTTTATTGGGTTTCTCTGAACCCTAATGAAGGCTCAGTAACCTCAGTGTGAATTTATAATCTGTCATTGCTTTTCAAAATACTGTCAAAGCAGACACTCCTTACTTTGGACATCAGACTTCATCTAGTCTTAAGCCGATGTTTACATATAATATTTTTACTGTTTTAAACCATTCCCATTCTGAGATGGCATAAATAAAGCTGGAACTCTCCTAGCTCAGATGCAGCAGCATCCAGACAAAGGTGCCTTTAGGTAGGTGTTGCACATTCCTACGAATTTATGGAACGAAAGGAGTAGAAGCCCCTTTTTACAGGTCTAACCATCGCTGCGCTACAAGCTCGTGTCTCTCTACTCACATCGCTCTCGGACACGAGGGAGTAAAAGCAGTACAGAACCAATGTGTAGAGCCGCCTGAGCGACTCTGCGCTGTTCAGCAGAGACTTTCTGAGCCCCTCTGTGGTCACGAGCTGGGCAAACATCCCAGGGGATCGTGGCTAGCACCGCTCCAGGGAGCGGGAGGTGGCTGTTTTGGGGGGACCCTGTAAAGCATGGGACTCTCCACTGCTCAGCTGTGGCCCGATAGCTGCGCTCAGGTATGCATTTCCATTACGAGACAACCGCATGCCATCAAAGCAACGTTAAAATGGTAGTAATACTAAAGTCATGCAGAAATATAACCCTAATCCTGGTTTTCTTTTTGCCCTTCCTGCCCAGCATACTCCAGCAAGATAATACCAAGCCTTTCTAATGGCTCAGTTCAGAGGAGGACTTTCACTGTATCAGATAAAATTCAGCTATTCCTGGCATTAATTACATTAGCTATAAACATACAGGACACCAGGGACAGCCTTTGCAGGGGCTGCACGTCTGCTGCAGTGACAGAGGCCGGTCCTTGTTTATTCTGCGTATCAGGACAACCGAGCAAATTGTGACCGGTTACTGCAGGGACTTCCCCGTTACACACGTCAGCCCCAGACCTCCTCGGCTTGGCAGACCCTGCAGAGCTTCATCAGGGCATGGGGGGACTGAGCAACGTGCAAACTAGCAGGAGAAACTCAGACCCTGATTCCTGACTCCTTTTACCATACTGAAGAGTTTTCAGTTTGATGTTAGCAAGTAAATGAATCATTTTAATCAGATTCACACAGAAGCTTGTCTTAAAGCTGAACAAAACATGTACACGGGTTCTCGTCTGCTCAGACCCACCAAAACATGAGGTGCTGAAATCCCCCCTCCTTTCTTCCCTGATGGGGAACAGCATCGTGCCAGGTTGGCAGCGTTGGCTACTGGTAGCTCAGCAGCCAGCCTTGGCACTCTGATGGTCAATGGTCATCCTCAACGGTGGTGGTGAGACTTTATAGGCTCTGTAGTGCAACGCAGCACCGCTGTAGCCCACGAGGAGTAGGGGTCAGGGCACTAGCCAGTTTTCAAAGCACCTTATAGGAATTCTGAATTCCTCATGGGAATGGGAAGACCCTTTTAGGATGAATTGACCTGAATTGTCTCCCTCCTACCATTTGCCCTCTACTCAGAGGAGGCAGGCAGGGAGGAAGGAAGATCCTAACAGAGCAACTTTCTCTACAGAAGGGAGATGTCCACGTCCTAGTCCAGTGGCATTTGGAAAGGCACCTTGGGACATCCCTAAGTAACGCCACTTAGCTTGATCAACTCGTTTCAAAGCCTCAGCTCTGATTACAGTTGATGAACCAAACCAAGGGGTGAGGTACCTCTCACCTCTCTCCTGCAGCAAAAATCACGGCAAACTTGTAATACCCCAATGCTGCTAAAAAGAAGCGAGTCTCATTGCCAGAAGTCTGCATATGTTCCTTGATGTCACCACATCCATAAGCATCATCTATGAGTGGAAGAGGAATGTTATATTACCTCTATCACAACAGGGCGACAGAGAAGAACAGCCTCTCTCAATATACTGTGTTTTTGTGGGTCACGGAAAGGTTTTATTTCTCTCTCAGAGCCTCGAATCCCTGTTTTAAGACAACCAAGGGACACACGAGGCAGCTTTAGAGCTGCTTCTTTTACTTCTCACCTGATCTATATTTTGAGATGGCTTCTTAGAAGAAGGGCAAATGCAGTAAGCCAGCTACTGTACTTTTTATAACTCTCAGACAGGTCTTTGATTTGGGCCAGCAAGGAAGCTCATTAGATCTGATAAAGCAACTAAGCATCTCTGGAAAACGCTATTAAAAGAACATGAAACAAATGAAAAGCTGGGACAGACTCGATGGTAAATACATGGCCTGGCAGTTCAGCACGGCTACATCCTGTTTGCCATTATTATTTAATACAGGCATCGATTGGTTGAAGGATGAGACAGACCAGGCAATCCTCTGCGGGGTTTACTTGAATACCATTTCACTTTGAAATTAAACAAGCCCACAAGCTTGGATCACACTGTCTTGTTGGGAAATTTTAATTAATTGATTTAATGTTGGGGACTACTGTGGTCAAGCAGTGAACAACACCTCTTTGATCATCTACGTGGACAAACCAAGTCCCTGCTAACTATGGAGCAGTGCCCAGCTCCAGGTTAGAACCAGCGCAGCATGAACCTGCTCCTCTGGAGTAACAATCCGTACGGCCACTATCCCACACGCCGGTAGTAAAAGCTGTTCGTATGGAAACAGCTATCATCATGGCTCAGGCTCTTTGGTCTTTATATTAATTTTTCTGAGAGCCCACAGAGGCCTAGAACAATTACACCAGCTCGCTGTTTCACAGCAGTGATACATGGATACGAAGGGAAGTCTGAAGAGTAATTATTTCTACCATCACCACGTTAGCTGCTGCCCTTTAATGGCAGAACAAGGCTAGTGACACAGGGAGGCCAAACTCAAACTCAGCAACTACCTCCATCAGTGGTGCTGCAACCAAGCTAGCAAAACCCAATGTGAGACCACATAGAAAGGGAAGGTGATTTTTATTTTTAAGACTGATTTCACCCACCGGCTCTTTCATGCTCATTTTTGCATGCTCACATTCTCACTAGCACTAAGACACATGTGTAAGTGGTTGGGTGAAGACGGCCTGTAATGACAGAGAGGACAAGTCCTCGTCACGCCTCTCCGATTCATCCTGAGTTGTGAAGACACCGTATGATATCTGGCCTTTACACTCTCTCAATACAGGCAGCTCTGGGTCTGCTCGAGTCGCATCACACTGTTGTTGCTCCACATCTGCGTTGTGTTCGTATCTGAGGTATGGCCTTGCTGCCACCATTCCTTTCGATATTACGTTCTTCTCTGCTCTCCCCTTGCTGTTCTCAGCCTCCTGAATTGCCACACACGCGCCATTCTTTGCGGTGATGATTTCCACACGGAACCATCTGTCTTCCGAAGTTCTCTGCAAGCACCGATAGTCCCCACAGACACCTAGATATTTAATTCCTGTTTGATACACAGTGCAAACAGAAGGCTGATTTGGCCAGCGGTTTATTCCCCGAGTTGTCCCTGGCAAGGAAGGTCTCTTTACGTAGACCAGATAAATTGTCCTACAAACAGCCTGCTGATCACTGGCTGGAAATCTGTGGCTACATCCATCAATTCCCAGCCTTTGCTTGTCTTTAAGCATTACTCCTTCCACCATCACCACCTAAATCTTTTCCTCAGAGGCAACTGCGAGGAGTTTGGAAGCAGGGTCATGACAAAACAAAAACAAAGAAACAAAAAACAAATTATAGAAAGATGAAGATGGAATACCTTTCAGAAGAGGAAGCTTCCTTATCTGGTTTGGAGGTGTGCAGCACCTTGTGTGTACCTTGTACCGGCAGCACCGTTAAAGGAGCTGCAGGGGAGTGCAGCTGAATAGCTTGGAGCACGGCTTTCTCTCCCTGAAACTGAGCAGCTGTCCTGGAATCGGACGTGGGGCAAAGCTGCAAGGGAACAAGAGGGAGGACAGAGAGCAGCTACTCGCCCTTTTCTACAGATTCTAACGAGCATTTGCATTTTTGTCTTATATGAGTAGATGTGAAACCCAGCTCGTCTGTCTTTAGGAGAATTGAGCTCTCTCTCAAGAAGCAAACCAACAATTTCACAACAGCCATTTTTATTGCTTTTGACAATACACCATTGGAGGGAAAAAGAAATAATTTTCTGCTATTCTTTAGCTTCTTTCTTTAATAAGTAAATTCCCTGGGATACTGATAAAAGGTAAATGGTTAACTTTGCATCCAAGCTGACAATGCAAATAAAAAAGAGTTGGAAATTCCCCAAAGCAGGCTACTCATATAAGAATAGCACCACAAAACTGCCCAAGTAACCACTCTGTGGAGTAATTAACTAACATTTGCATGGAGAACAAGTTCTTGCAGCCATTGCTAACAAGATTGAAAGTCTGTGTCTCAAGATGACATAGCAGAGACTCAGGCTTGAAAGCGTCAGCAACGTTTAGTTCAAGCCAACAATAATCAACAAAAATCTTTCCACTCATTCCAACGGGCTTTGGCTAAGGTCCCTCACACATGCACGCACACACGCAAATGTTTCAAAACAGCCAGAAACGGTGTCCTGAATGCCTTCAACTCCCAGCTCCTGCCACAATCCAGCCTTCATCTAAAAATAAACATACACGGGTTTAACAATGAAGAATATTTACTTTCCTTCATTTGACACATTCGGTAAAGTGCTATGTTTCTAAAGTATACTGAGTTAAACTGATATATTGCTCTAGTATTTTAAATACAATAAATATAGAATGAGCTGTGTGCAACTTCAATTGCAAGTTTTATTCTTTTTTTAGTCGATATACTAAATTTAGTAATCAAAATAGCCTCCACTAGTACTCCATGAAAAACTAGTAAGAAGTTATAAATAAAATTACATCCTTCAAAGATAGCCTACGCACTTCTTCTGTCCACATTGCATGGATAAGCGTAGTGTTCCTGCGAGCATATGGGGCGAAGAAAAACAAGGAAGCTGAAAATTACCTAACGATAAAAAGCAAAACCATATGAGTTAATGCTACATATCCTCCCATAAACAGTCTGTTTTCTATATTTAATCTCGGTGTATACAACCCAGTTCTTCTATTTTTTTCCCCATTAAAACTCTCTTTCAGGAAGAACATCTTGCGAGATATGGGTCGATTCATCTTCATCTTGCTCCTTTTTACTGCAAAGTGGAAAAGATTCTTGAACAAACTGCCTACACATTGGACACTGCTGAAAGTACTTAATGCAGCCATCACACAAGCACGCGTGCCTGCAGGGCAGGAGTACCCAGTTCACTGTGCCATTCTGGCAAACAACACAGTCTTTGCTGTTTTCTTCGTGCAATTCTGGTTCATCTTCAGCCAGTCCGGCCTTTTCTAGCAAGCTTCTGTCAGAGCTTCTCTCACCAGGGGACGTATCGCTTGAAGATGGTGCAGTACTATTTGCAGACATGAAGAGTTGCTAAAATACACATATACACAAATGTTTAGAAGTAAACAAACTCTCCCCCAATACCTGAACGCACACACGCGATGCAAGTTCCACTGGGTCAGATTGACTGGTTTCCACTGGGTCAAATAGTGCCAGACTCACTCTTTGTGTGAGTCCTGACAGTCGCCTGGCCTTCAGCTGAATGCATTTCAAAAGCATAAAATTACATAGAACACTGGGAAAATATTAAGTCATCAAATTTTAGCTGAATCAAATCAATGTACATGCATGAACTTTAGTGGAACTGCCCAGGTTTTGAAGAGCTCAGGTTTCTGTTTCTGGTCTATCATTCTCTGTGCCTAGAGGGATGCTTCTGTCCATTCCTATGAAAAATATATCCACCAAGCTGTTAAATCTGCTTCACTCAAGCCAGTCCGCTCTTGCTCATATTACAGACCCCTAGTCCTTTTTGTTTTATTTTACATGAAGCACAAATTCTTCTGGGCATGATCTCTTAATAAAGCCAGTAAACTACCACGCAACCAAAGATGCCCACAGAGAGCACGCTACACAACTACACAAAACGCAGCTGTGCAGTTATTTCTGTTCAGTTTAAGTGGTGTTTTTACAGTGGTAACCATACATGAAAAGAAAGCTTAAGGGGAACAGGGAATTTCACCTGGAACAACTATGTCACCAAAAAATGACCAGGACAAACATTTCTTTGGACAAATATATTTCTGAATGAATGCTAATTGAGTCAATAGAATTAATTTGGCACAATTTCTAGCTTATCGGTATCAAATGTTATTCTTATTATCACAGTAATATAAAATAGAATCACATCATCAACTGCCTGACAGACACAGGACAAATATGGTCCCACAACATGTATAGATAAGGGAAACTGGAATGGAATAATGAGAACACTGGTTTAACTTATAATACTATGTGCTAGGCAGATTTCTAACCTTTGTGCATGTAACGCAGTAAAAAGAAATTAAAAAGTTTCTTCTGAGGCTTTCCCAGTTGAAGGGCAGTATAGGAGAAAGTGCTGGTTTGAAAGACTAGCAAGGAGGTAACAAAAGTTCTGTAGAGAGGAAGCATTCAACAGCTACTTAATGTCTTACTACTGCTTTAATAAGTGGACAGGACCTAGGCCTCTAGATGAGCATCAAGTCATTTCTCCAGGAAATCTCGAATATTTTCATATAAAATATTTCTGTACAGTAACTTTGGCTAGAACTACTTAACTGATAAAATAATTTTAACTATTATCCAGTTCTTTGCATGACAATAAAAGTCTTATACTAATTTAGGCTCCTGAAAGCCTACACAAACTAAACTTAACGCTGTCGCCCAAATGAAACAAGACTCAGTACGTGGCTTACCTTCAGATCATGGTATTGACCTTGAGCTAGAAGTAGATACTGATACAATATTCTGCAGGAAAGTCTGTAGCTCTCATCAGGAATGTGAATTACAGCCAGCATTGAAATCTACCAGAAAAAAAAAAAAAAAGCTATGTTTAATAACTTTCCTTTTCCTTACATGATTCATCTAGAACAGTTTGCTTGAAAGATTGCATGCTTTGTAACCACCTCTGACCTGCTTAATTTCCTTAGACACTCAGGACTTCAACAACATTGACTTCAAGCACAGATCAAAAAAATATGCTGGACGAGGTAAAAACAGGACGTGGCACAAGATAGCACTTTGTGGCATTTCAGCTTTGTGCCCTGGCTCTCCACGGAGCCCTTCTATGGCCAGTCTACAGCAGAGACCCGCTCCGGCCACTCTCACCTAATGGAATTAGGCCCCAAACTGAAAAGGCACCTAAGCACTTGCAGTCCTCCTGAAGGTAAGTGCTTATGCAGCCGAGGTAGGGCTTGCTTACACAGTCACAGACGTGCCTCAGAGAGGCCACCTGCATAAGGACTTCAACCAGAAGTAGCAGCTCCTACGCTCCTCTTTCCACTCTGCTAACTCATGACGAGCTCATCCTGGATGGGAGAGAAGTTGACAAACTGCAAGGAGTTTCCTACAGCAACCAAGAGCGTGCATGCATTTAAGTCCCATACAACTTCTGCAGCCGCATCCCGGGCTGTCTTCAACACAAGAAATGAGCCTGTCAGCTGAAGTCTGAGTGCAGAATTACAGGGGAACATGTAAAAGGCAAAGTCTCCTCTACATTCTCCCACTTCCCTCACAAACACAGGCACTGCAGTTTTTAGACTCCAAAAAGCATTTAGAAGTGTTGCTGATTGGCTTGTAAACCGAGTAAGCAAAAGACAAATTTCACTGGAAAGGATTATGAAAGGACCCCATGGGCTGACTTTAGAGTCACTTTTCTGAAAATAAGAGCACTCTAGGCTTGCATGCTGTGCCTAATACCCCTCACCCTGCCCAAATTATGTAATAGCCTCTAGAAAGCAGGAAAAAAAGAAAGTGAAATTCAGTATTATTGTAGTTCCCAGAAGCTGTCAAAAGAGAAATGAAATACAGAAGCAAGCTGTTTTCTTTAAAAAAAAAAAAAAGTAAAAGGCAACTCAGACTTGCACTTCAAAATCCACTACATGGCTAATTATATGCAGAGTTTATTTACCTATACATATGTATTTATACTAACTGAATTTACTATTTTTTGGCCATAAGGTCTTTTTTCCTAAATCACAATGCCTCAAAAAAACCCCAGACCCAAACTCACACCACTAGTAGCTTTGTTTTGGAACCTGAAAGCCATTAAATCTCCATTAAAATGACAGATTTTGTGTTTTGATGCTAAGAGTTTAAAAGTTAACGGTTCTGAGTGTATTTGCATTGTGTCACCCCACTACAACATAAGTGCTTTCTCAATGACGACGCATGTCCTCAATTCATACTTTGTTCAGGCACCCAGGCAACTTTTTAACTGTGAGTGGGACCAGTTCCTAACGCAAGCAGCTCGATCGTCAAGCTACTGTCTCCTCTGTTATGCTGTCCTGCAGCGTAGACACATATACAGTGATACTATGATCTAGTAGAAATGCTATGCTGTTTGATTATAGAACCCCTTCCCCTTGAGCACCAGGTATTTTCTCTCTTTGTAAATACTTGTACACCATAATCAGGTTACTTCTCAATCTTCTGTTTTATACACAGGCCTGAGATCTAAGCCTTCTTCCACTTTAGCCCTGCCAGCCTTCAAATAATTTCTGTAACTCTTATATATGGTCATGCTAATTTTCTGGAGCTTGAGGAAAATTACAGCACAAAACCAAATAGGTATGATCTGGCCACAAATACGGTTAGGATGAAAATTAAGACCCCGCCCAGAAAAGAGATACTGGAACACCATCCATAGTGATGGACACACACACTGCCCCAAAAACAAAAAATTCAAGATGGAGCTTGATGCTCTGATGTGAGAATAATGCAGTAATACCATACTCGCCACAGTGGCAAAGATCCCTTTCCACACTATTTATATTTTACAAGTTTGTTTCAACAACAAGAGATGCAAGTCTGACATTTGTCTGGCAAGGAGTTCAGGAGGAGTTACTCCTTTGACCATATTAACAGATTCTAGTTGTGTTCCTTTTCTCCAAAACCAGAGGAAAAGTACCTCCCCCACTCTCCTTCCACCCCTTTTCTTCTGTGTTAAGGAACAAAAGAGCGGTGTTACAAATTCTTGTCCATGCTAACATCAAACACGTTCAGATATGAAATTAAGTCTCTTTATATTAAAATAATTTGAGGTCTAAACCTATATAGATGTACTAATCTGGGATATAGCTGGAGGGGGCAGGAATCTTGAGTGGGGACAGGAGGGAGGAAGGCAGCCCTAAGGTCAAGTGACAAGAAGCCAAGGGCAGGAATCACTTGGAAAGGCAACAGATTTCTTAGGCACTGGCGTGCTCACGAACCATTTCCAAATGAAGATAGGGAAAAGCGTTCAGTGGATTTAGGCAATTTGCCTCCGAGTTAATTTGTATTATTGTTCGAGCAGTTAGTGCTTATCAGATGATCAACCAAATGAAAGATGAGAGATAAAAGCGTGTCCCAAATCGTTCCAAAAAGAATCAGTCAATTTAGAGTTTAGAAGGGATATTGAACTGCATGCGACAAGGCTGACGCCGCTTTAACTGTAAGAGATTAGGAGGAGACCTTCTTGGGGAGCTGAGTATCTCGTATCAGTCTGCTGCAAGACCTTCAGACCTTCCTGTAAATGACCTGGAGCTGGCTACTGTGAGACATAATGTATGGCATTACATAGACTCTGGCCTGTTGCAGAAAGGTAATTTCTATGTTCCTAACAGTCAAGTCAGCAATCAGCTCAAATATCTGTGCCAGACACTAAAAAGAAAAAAAATCCTCCTACCTTGCCAACAGCAATCCAAAAGACCGTATCAGCGCAAGAGCTCCACCACAGGTTTATGTGATCAGAAAACAAATCATAGTAGCTTACTAACCTACCTCAACCTTAGTTCATCTGACCACAGGGCTAACCAGAGACCTTTGCAGATAACGAGCTTTGTGAAAATCATAAGCATCTTTTGAATGGCATACATAATTTTTATATAACAATTATCCTTGCTTTCCTGCCATGCTCCCCTGGAGTCATGAGTGATAAAGTTAGGGACCAAATTCTGGGTGACAGGGAAAGGAAGCTGCTTTATTCAAGCCTGTCTCCTGAAACATTCAGACCTTAAATACAGTGACCCTAAAATATATTCTTATATTACTTACAATATCATATATTTCTCTGTCTTCTTCATCAGCTAACGTCAACAATGCTATCAACGGATAGCGAGATCTAGGCACTGGGCCAAAATCGACAACTTGAGCATCTTCTGGTAACTGACAATATTTTTCTTCCTTGTCATTTTTTTTAATGCTTTATATGTGTCAAGGAAAACAATGAGTGTCACTGCAATTGTAGACAAATGTGACGTTTGCATAAAGAATACTTTTCATCATATTTGTTCATAAATATATCGTGCCAAGAACTGCCGAGTGTTCACAAGTCCCAACACTTCCCTGTGCCAACAAATTAGCATATTTTGTCAAAACAAATTTTAAAAAGGATACAAGTACTGTTGTCGATAGAGGTATTCGCTGTACAGAGCATCCTCTAATGCCTGAGGAGTCTTTATTCTGAAGCAGTAGACATGTTTCTGCAACGCTTCGTGGAGTTTTTGAACACTGCAGCCCCAGTAGCATGTAAGAATACAGTCTTCCAGACAATCAGGTGTCAGTGTTACACCCTCTTGTAGAAAGAAGATAAGGATTTCATTAACTCACCCATGCACAGGAATTCTGGAACTGCTAAGTGTAGGTCCTTAAAGGGCAACAGGCAGAAAACAACTTCAGTGTCTCAGATTTTTATCATCATAATCTGATCTTCTATGAATTTAGGCTAGGTTTAGTGCTTATGAAAGTCCATGGAGATGAGGAAGTGGGTGCGAGGAGCTAAAATGGCTGATTAAGCTAACTGAAGTAGCATGTGCTTTTTATGAAGGGTAAATTTTAACTTCTGGTAACATTTTACACACTCATGGGCAGACGGAAGAGCACAACCCCTAGCCCAAAGTCCATTCCCTCTCTGGATAATGGTATTACTTGTATCACTGGCCTACCACACCCTCTCTGGTCTCCAAGAATAAGGCCCTCTTGATCACGCAGAGGGAGCATAAAAAGAAGATCTATGCGCTCTGTTTCTTTTCTAAAAATCAAGTACCCAACCCATTAACTTCTAAACACTTACTGCACAAACAGGAGCAGAAGTCTTGAAAAGTCCCACCAAATTCAAGTGCTCAAACCTCCTGAAAAATCCAAGTTACCTGAAGATTAAGTTGTTGGGTTTGTTGTTGGGTTTGTTTGGGTTTTTTTAAAAAAAATGTTGGGGGAGGGGTAAAACTGCTGCAGCCCTTTTCTTATTCGTAGGAAGGCTCCACATCTGTGTTGGGGGAAGATGCTCAGCCTTGCTTATTGCTCCCCAATGATGCAGAAAGGCATGAATTTCACTTCCTATGGGGGGATTTCAGGGATGTTAGGAACTACTTGAACTCTGACCTAAATAGATATTTAAATTCAGTTTCCACTGAAGCACAGATAGAAAGAGAGAGATATTTTTATTTATTTATTAAAAGTAGCGCACTTCCAAACACTGCTGGAGATCTGGACTTAGATTTAAGTAGGCAGCATATATTCTGTAACGAATTCTATAGAATTCTACAATTCTGTAAAGTTTACAAAAACACCCACAGTAGCTGGTAATCTGCAAATGTTTTTGTTACTTAAAATCTGTTATAGCAGGAAGTGTTTCATTAATAAGAATTAAACTGTACTTAAATATCCAAACATTTCACTTTTAAAAGCACCACATTTATAAGCTGTGTAAAACTTATTTGTGTTGTAATGGTGGGAGGAAGCACGTTTCTGAGGAATTTTGATAAAGGAAAAGGGTGAGAGCGAGAAAACATAGTACTAAGTTCAGGAACCCAAACTGACAAAAATCAAGCACATCAGAAATCCACTGACTTGTTACTGAGGCTGTAGCAGGATGAGGGATTTCTAACCCAAAAGGATTCTTCACTTGTCTCATCCGCTTTTTCAAAACTCTTGTGCTGGATTCTGTTTCTTCTGAGTTTCTCAGAATAACAGGAACACCCAACCCAAACCTATGAGACATGAAACAAGGAGAACAAGTGGCTTATGTGTTAGTGTTGACACATTCAAATTTTTCTTCAGCTCTAAATAGCAAGCAGGACAACAAATAGAGCTAGCTCGGCTTTGCAGAATATCTGCTAGGATGCATGCATAATATAGTCTGACTCCAGCTTTTTGTGACAGAAGGTAGGAATCTTCACAGATATACAGAAAATCTATATAGGGGGAATACTTTACTCCTGTAATGTTTCCAGAAAAAGAATAAAATTAACGAGAATGGTCAATGCCCTCTAGTGGTAAACAGTTAGCCAGAGCTTTCTCTGGTGACATTCTGCACATCCTGTCACAGTACCGGAAAAAAAACAAAACAAAACAAAACAAAAAACCCCAAACAAACAAACAACTGTTTACAAAGATGGAACAGCCTTCATGGACTGGGTGCTCAAAAGGAGGCCCTTAGAGTAAATCATTCAGCCCTAACATATTTCTAGCTGTAACTACAGCCAGCAAGATGTTTTTATGGGAGAGTAAGATCCCGACTTCCCATGTAAACCTCAATGACCATAATATGCTGATATTAAATCAGGGGCTGTAAAGCCTCTGCTTTGAGCCAGAAAATAGTCAAGACTCTGAATCAAAGCTGAGATGCTAAGACCCCTTCAAAGCCAAAACTAGCATGCTAGCCCGAGTGATATTCTGACCCTAAAAGAGTAACGAAGCAAAGGTTTAAAAGTTTAAACACTCTATGAATCAAAATAAAAATCCAAGAAAGTGAGGAAGACTATTTTGGGATGATTTCTGACATCAATTAAAACCCCAAGATTTTCATATTGCCTGGGGCTTTCCACTACAGAAGATCAGGATCTAAAAAACGAGCTCCACAACAGACTTACTTCTACACTTGGCTAAAAATAATTCACTTTTTAAGGTGATAGCAATAACTTTCAATAACCAAAAGCTGTTTAGAGAAACTGTCCCAGATATGCAATCAGAAAACTGCTTTGGAGACTGAGATTTTCTTCACTGCATTAATCCAGTCCTGTCTCATTAGTAAGGCAAGAAGGAGAGGCTGTGGGAGCCTTTTGTTAATGCATTTTAGAAAACAGTTATTAATTAGCACGGGCTGTACTTCCCTGAATTTGTGCTTTTGTCACTGCCACCTGTACCGTTGAAGTGGTGGCTTGTTTAATGGCTTTGAATTTTGGTTCATGCAGTCATCAGCATATTCGGTGCTGGAAAACTCTGAATGGCACGAAGCATCGGCTCTTCCCTGCATCAATTGTTTCCATTTAGTATACTGAAATAGCAGCTGTTACGGTAAGATGGGTCTCATATCGATAACTCAAGCTGAAAAGGGCACTACCAACTTCAGTGTAATCAGTTTGAAAATTGCTGAAGTAATTTCGTGTACAATACATCTCTGAGCCAAACAGACAATTTTGTGGCTTAACTGCTACTTTTTCCTGGGTTTAAAATCTTTTGCAACTCCTGTGTGTCAAACGAAGAAGAAAAACAGAGCTTTTGCTGACATTGGGCTCCTTTCTATTGATTCACGTTGGAGGGGTGCCCTTTGTAAGACTAACAGGGAAAAACATCAGTCAAAAGTGACTTTCAAGTTGAAGGAACTACTTCACAAAAAAAAAATTCTCAAAGCCATTCTCAATAGCAACAACCTGTCCCTGGCAGTCTAACAAATATTTGCCTTTACCATTTCACACCTTGCGTGCTCGAGTGTCACAGATACACCAAAGAGGAAAGCGATTGAGCTGGCAGAAAATACTCTATCCTCACTACTCCATCTTTGATAAATTCCTTTGGTTTGCTAGACTTTGATGGAAACTTTTGCATTCCTTCAATGATACAATATAAGGCGCTCAGCCATACTTAGTTTGTGCACACAGAGAGTGAAATCTCTGTCCAATGCAAGTCAACAGAACCACGCTGACTTCACCGGGGCTGGAATGAAGTACACCAGTTAAACATCTTACTCACAAAGAAACCAGGTGCAGCAGCTCTTTCACTTTTTGAATATCCAAAACTCAATGGAGCTAATCCCTCCAGACACACAGAAAGATGCCTCCTGTTTTATACCATCTGGCTGATTCCAAAGTAAAAACCCTGTTCTTTGAAAACTTTCTTCGCTGGTCGAAAGCAACAGGATAATCACCCTGAAAAGCACCCATAGAAAAAAGCCTCTAGTACAGTTTTAGCAGCAGCTGAAGGCAGAAAGGCCTTTCTGTTCAACAATAAGGTGCAGTGCTTCTGTAAAAGTTAGGGTAGGATTCAGTGTATGAAGGATGAATAAAGATACAGTTTTTATTTTATGATTTAACATTCTACCAGCCTAGATTGTTAGCTGGTATAGGGGAAAATTAATTTCTTCAGAACAAGACTAGTTTAGAAAAGGCAGGAGTTTCCAACAGCTTTGTTCACGAGTGAATTTCTCCAAAGAGCAGCCCGGACCTCAAATAGGTGCTGAGCCTACAGCTCCTCCTAACATGAGCATTCACCTCCAGCTAAAAAGACGACGCACGGGACCACATTCAGCCAATCTAAATTCCACTTCATCCCTGTGCCCACAGCATCGAATGGACTGGCTCTAGAAAGCTATCTGTGCAGGAACCTACCTCGACTCTCTGAGGAGAGCCACAGGTATGCGGGGCTGGCCGTAAAAACAGATGCTCATCAAATCAGTGCATGATTTTGCAAATGAAAACATTCCTAAGCAGTTGGTGTTTTTCAGGCTGACTGACACCATCATGAACACATCCATAAAACAAGCTGACAATTGATGGCGAAAACGATGCGGGAAACAAAATGTCATTACGGCAATATATCAAGTATTATGCACTCATATGACACCATATGCATTTATAGCGCTCTGCATAGCAAATAAAGGATCGAGTTGTCTTCATGAGTAAGTTCAAGAGCACTTGAACTGTAACTGCAGCTGCAGACACACTGAAGTTGTTTGGAGGCTCTTGGTCATACAGCCACGGCACGGTGGAGTTCAAATATCTCTGAGCAGCACATATCTCTGAGCAGCTGGGCACATACATACTTGCACGTGCTGAGCTCCTGCCTACCGCTTCTACTTGACTAACAGTTCCTTAACAAACTAGTTTGAAGACAGTTAGTATATACTTACATAAACTGCAATAATATCTAGTGCAGGTGCACCTAGAATCTCTGATCCTGAAATAAGAACGCATCTGGACAGTCCTCTACACAGCCTGTAGCCCAAAAAGCATCAATGGACACGTGTGCAAATGTAAGGATCTTCTGGCACACCTATTTCGGACATTTTACAGCAGGGGATTGGAAAGCATTTATTATGAACAGATAACTAATGATTAAATTGATAAAGGATCACTGGGTTGGGACGTACATGCAGGGGATTTATTTGAATCATGATTCAGTATCATTTTTTGGTAAAGATAATATTTTTAAAGAACCGATGAAGCAAAAAAGAGAAAAGTGGAGAGAAATGGTTGGCAATATAAAACCGTCAGCGTGCAGTGGGACAGAGAGAATTATGAAAGGATTTCTACCACCTCTCTCTCCAAGTAAATAACGAGATGGAGCTTCACCCAGCAGAAAGGTAACGAAGACCAGTCTTGCCTCCACTACCACCTACCCAGCGCTAGGGGAGGCAGTGCAAAACAAGAACAAAAACCTTCCACAAAGCATATCTGAAAGATCAAAAGATAGCTTCATTCACCCCGAAAGCAATAGATGGCATATGTTTGAGCCAGTGGCAGCTAACAAAGTGATGCAAACAAGGGAAAGGCTTTGCACTAAAGGAAAAGTCAGGCACAGTATTTATAAACTGCCAAGAGAACAAACAGCTACAGCTAAAACACCTGTAATTCAGAGAGACAAAGGAAGGAAAACACTGAAGCACAGCACTACAGATATTAAGGTTAAGCCAATGGTAGGAAACGCAATAATTCTTGTTTTATTCTCTCCAGAAGTGTGGTGTATCCCCAACTCTTACATAAAATATTTTGATCGCTAATCAATGCTCTCCACTTGGCAAGTATCAGTATTTACATTTACGGATGCTCCTGAGTTGGCAGGAAAACAAACAGAACAGGGCTACGGACATTCAGGGACCTATTTCTGAAAAAGGCGACGGTGACATCTTTGCTGAACCCTCTCAAAGACGAGTAGGAGAATGTCTTCTGCTCATCACCCCTCTAGACATTTTAGCATGCCAGCTGTTTAAGGCTTCTCCCCATCCCAGCCCCAGCCCCCTGTTCCGTTCACTTGAAACACCCCCTCCTCCTCTGAGCTTCAGCAGTGGAACAGACTAGTGCCCCATCAGAGGTCCTGGGTAGTCTCACACCTCAGTAACAACTCTGCCTTAAAGTCTGGCAGATTTAGCTGCTACCCGGCCTAACGCCAGGCACCTTACTCAATAGCTGCTCGTTTTATCTACCGCCAACATTTGAGATGTCCAGCTCTGACAGTGCCAAACTTCTCCCTCGGAGCAGCCCTCCCTGATGCCCACCCTCTCACTGAGGGTCAGGTCCTCTCTCGGCCACTGTTTTCTCCACAGCTTTCATCCTCCCCTTCTGCCGGAG